TGTTGTCTCTAAAATATAAAAACATGCCTTTTAGCATCGCAAGGCACGGAATAAAACGAATGCTAGCCATGACAAATGCTAAAAAAAATTGTCGAATGCTTTGCTGTCTCTTTCACGTCTCTCAGACATACTTACTGTATACGCCTACACTAATCTATAGCACAATATTACATTACATTGCGGTATTGTTATTGCATTAATTAAAAATAAAAAACGATTTTTTTTAAAAATCTCTATAAGTTCTAACATATCATATTTTATCTAATATTCATCAATTTAAAAACCAGTTACTTTGAAATAACATTAATTTCTTATAAAGGTCAAAACTACTACAAATGGAGCTTAAGTCGAAAATCCGACTGTTCTAATGTGCCCCGGAGTGTCCCTCCCATATAAGTACCATTATTTTAACAAAATTTCTGCTATTTCAATGAAAAACTTCATTATTTTAACAAAAAAAAATGCAATTAACGACTACAGCATTCTGGTCTGTGAGAGCAGCGAGTAGAATTTGTACCAATCAATGCTTGAATTCGAACCAGGGGCACCTCACGAGGAGGTAAATGCTGTGTCTCTTGAGTACCGAAGATTTCATTAGAAATAAAAATATTGAACTATCTTTATTTTAGAAAGCCATACTGAAATAATTTCATCAATTGTTTATTTAAGTGTAAAAACATGTAAAACGCAGTTCTATTTATACTATGTTAAAAACCATAAAATTTTGCTGAAAACTAAGTGCAACTATAGAAAAAAAATCGCAAAATGATTTAAAAAATGTAAACTTATCGTAGGGTAAGTAAAACTGAATCGTAACAATTAGAATTTGAACTAATGGCTTTAAACCGTTTATGATTAGAGTGAGAAAGAGAGAAAAACCGTTTTGCAAACAAAACAGTTTTAAACCGTCAAATATACAGGGAAAGTCAGTAAAAAAACAGGTATTTCTTATGTTGTGGGATTTGTTATTCGAAGGTTATATTCCGATAATTCAAATTTCCACTTTCTATAAAAATTTGAAAAAAAAAAAAAAACTTCAAATATCATCCGTATTTTATTTGGGAAAAAAATAATGTTTATTATTATTATTTATGCATAGGGAAAACAATTCTGGTTAAATTACCGTACAGTACGGTAATGAACCAAGATATATGTTTAAAAACAGAAAAAAAACAGTATTTTCCTGCGAAAAATATGTTTATTATTATTATCATGCAAAATCTGCTGTTATTTTATACGGTGTCTATTTTTCATAATAATGCATTATCAAATTTTGCTACTTAAAATAGAAATGCTTACAATTATTATTATGATTTGTTATTTTTATTATTATGTCTTCATTCTAAAGATAGATCATTGAAGTGAAAAAAGAAGAGAAGACAAACATATTATACAGCTTTTTTTTAATAAATATATAGAGTAATATCACCTGATTAAAAACTACATATAAAGTATACGGTTTAAAATATACAAAAATGGAATGACCGTCGACATGTTTCAAGCGCATCGAAAATAGGCACCCATTTTCTTGTTTTGACAGACCTATGGACGCCTATTTTGATTCGCTTGAAACATGTCCACTGTCATTTTATTTTTGTATATTTCTGAAGAGTTTGAAGCTTTCAATCGGATAATATCTTATCGATTCAGTTTCTTGAGATTATTTACTTAATATAGTATAATAGTTTGAGAAAAGATATTTCCCTTATTAAATTTATTACTTTTTAAATTTGAATATATTTTGAACAAAATATTATTAAGGAGCAAATTAATAAGAATAATTTCAGTTTTCTTAATTGTTTGTTTTTAATTCATTTTAACTTTGTCTTTCCTGTAAATTATTATCAGATACATCATTTGATCCTTTTTTTAAAAAAAAAAAAATAACTTTTAGAAAATACTTTTCATTGATATAAAATAGAGATCTTTAAGTTTTTCTATAAGTGAATAAATTGACTTCGTACTACTTAGCAAGCAATAGCGCACTTCTAATTTTAAACTGAAACCTCTTTTGATTTATCGTTGTCTCACAATTTCTTGAAGCCATATATACGCTTCATCCTCTATAATGTTTGAATAAGGGTGATTAATATTCCTTTAAGTATTTGCCTTACTTTGTACTTGAAACTCATCATACACTCATCTACCAAGGATTATATTTGTTGAAAACTCAGAGACATGTGCTCTACTTTGCTGTAAAGCGATGAAAAATAAAAATAATAGCAAAGAAAGTATTTATTTTTCTCAGAATGATTCTTTCCAGTTTCTGAAATCAACTAAAATTCTGTATTCTAATTTGCATAGTTTTATGGGACCACAATCTCATTCTTCGCACTTTAAGGCAAAGTATACAAAGCATTATAATTTATAAATCAAACAAATTAAACATTTTGATTCATTAGTTAAACCCGTCATGACTAACTAAAGAAATTTGAATAAAAGGTGTTTATTTTAAAAACATTTTGATGTTCTATTATTATTCTCTGAAGTAGCACAGTATGCATAAAATGCATTGTGCAAAATTTTTTAAAAATACTTAAATTATAATAAATTTTTTTCCCTAATGGCAGGCACTGAACTCTCGCTCGTTCTTTGTCTCGGAAGATGCCGGAAGTTTCATTCATTTAACGTTACCTGGTGCTGAAAATAACAAGCACGGCAGAATGAAATAGAAGTACGTCACAGATGGCGTTGCCGAGAGAGCCAATCAACGGTCTCAAAATCTCTTAAGGATACTATGTGAGTAAAGAGAGTTTACATGCTACCTGGTGGGCATCTGTGAATCCAAGTACGACGACAAGCAACAATATCCAAGCCACATTGGCTCAGAAATTCGTTAATCATAATGACAATAATAATAATAAGAACAGTAGGGGCTAAGGGGATAAAGAGTTTACCTTCTAATGAGATGACCAGGATTGAATCCTAGCGGCGGATGGTGATTACGAATTCTGCTTCCGTCTAGCATCGATCAAGATGCTGACGTAAAATACTCTTATTGGTAGATGGGATATGGGTTAGAATCCCCTTTAAGCCAAACCGTAGGGAAGTTTTTGCTGTTTTCCTCTCCAAATAACGCAGATATGGTTTAGTTCCTTAAAAAAGTCCTCCATGAAATATAGTTTGATCCAAAAGCTCCCTTGTTTTCTGGGTTGAGTTCATAGTTGCAAGGCTACGGAGTTGAATATTAATTGTGGTATAGTCAGGATTGGGTCAGCTGCTTAACACCGGGTATAAAATAAAACAGTAATGATAATAATATATGAGTTCAAACAGTGTATTGAAACTATAAGCCATTAAAATCAGAGCCTTAGTGTTACAAAATTATAAAAAATAATATTAACTAGCATTTGCTTAAACTATTTATAATATTATTTAATTGAAAATATGACAGCCTGTATTAAAGCTATCATTTGTGAAATTCATAGACTTTTAAGCTGCTAATTTAACAATTTTTATGCTAAATAATAAATAGATATTAATTATGGAATAATTGAGTCTTGGGGAATACATGGTGATGCGGACGACTGTTAAAAAAGCAGCAAATTAACAGATTTAATGTAACAAATTACAGTTACCTCAAAATTACCTCAAAATGTCAAACGATGATAAAGCAGTGTGAAGTAAAAATAAATTTAAAAAATGAGTGGAATAATAAATAAATAGGCAATCAAGAAATAAAAAATGCATTTGAAATTTAAAAATAAAATTTATTTACATTTTAAAGTATAATTTAAGTATTTAGTGAAAAAAAAATAGAAAATCTTTGATCAAGCTGAGCTGTAAGAGAAAGTGAAAAAAAAAACTAGATTAATTTAATAGTAGAGTGGTTGCCGACGTTTTTTGAAAACCGAATTTCTATTTTTTAAAAACCGAATTTAGTGGATTTTTAAAACCGAATTAATCCATTGTACAACCGGTAGTAACAGACAAAGAAACAATAAAATTAGGTAGAACACTTGTTGCTTAGGCTACACAAAATTTTGTTGGAAGAAAAGTAAATCTAATCACAAAATAATTTCAGTACTATTATTTGTAAAAATAAAAGAAAAATAAATATTAATTTAATTCAATAAACTAATTGGTTCTATTTTAAGGATTCGTTAAATTTGCTAAGAAAAAAAAAAGACTTTTATAGGATGTTTGTGCACTATAAAAATCACTATGAAAGTTCTTCGGTAAAAACTACTGAGGTTTTTTTGCGCCCCCATAGAGCCAGAAACACGGTAAATTTTATCATATTCTGGTAGTTTTGACCATACTTTTTTTCTCCGTGCATGCATAAGTTTTTTCCCCTTCAAAATAACGGTATTTTTCCAAGAGAAAAAAAAATTATCCCCCCCCCCAATCTATACATTTGCAGAAATCATCACAAATTTCAAGTTTGAATTTTCTGACCATAATTTTTTCTCGGTGTGCAGTTTAATGGGTATAATGAAACATTAAGAGTACTTTGAAAAATATTTATCACTTAAGAATTAAATTATATCAAGTGAATAATTTTTTCTGGTTTTACTTTCCATTTCAGATTGAGAAAACTTATTTAGCGAAATCAAACTTCGAATCAAAACAAACAATTTATATTCTTTTTCATTCAAACACAAATAACGTTTTATAAAATCCAACTACGGCATTGTTTATTTGTTCAAAGGGTAAAATGCCATGAACCAAGTGAATTCAATATTTTCAGAAACAGCCGCCTTCTAAAGTGAACTTCAAAAAACAATAATGCCAATAATAACCTGTAAATGTAACTGTAAATTTCTTTTGTCACCAGAAAAGTTGGTAAAGCGGGGGCATACTTGTTGGAGGAAAAAAAAATAACATAAGAAGTCGATTTTTACCAAACGATCAAATTTTGTGACGAAGTGAATGTTATTGGCCACCGGAAACATCTTCTTTCTGATTGGCAGAGCGGGGGCTATTACGTCGTGGCAAAGTGTCTTGGCGCCGAAACTAACAAAAAGAGCCAACCGCTTCCATGCGCGTAAAAATCTCATGCGGCGAACCTAGCTATATATTCGATAGCTGTTGATACAGAAATCATTCATTCTTCGAAAATTTGTGAAAAAGAGCCCTATCTCGAATTCCAAAATCTTATTTTAAAATAATTTTGTTAAATTACCGTTTTATTATTAATTTCGAAACAAAGATTTAGACAAGAAATTATAGATAAACATAAAGTAAGTTATATTTTTACTTATATGCTTATTTGCTATGAAAATTTGAGAAAATGCCATGGTTATATTTAATTTACGAGAAATTAAAATTTTTAAGCTTTTATTGTAATTTTCTTAGTTTCTATGAAATTTTAATTTATTCCGAGTTTTCCGATTTGGTGATGATGCTTATTATTAGTATTAGAACAGCTGTATGACTTTTTCTACTTTTTTCAGTGCCTTGGTTTTATTTTTTATTACGACTACAATATTTTTGTTATGTTAATAACTTTATTTTTATTATTAGATACATATATTTTATTATCCTTTACAAGTGCATATGAAATATATGCAATGCATTATTTAAAGAATGTATCGTTGGATTAATGAAAAAACTAATTTATATATTAATGGATTTTAAGATAAGGCGTTTCCTTAGATTACTAGGTAAAGGGATAAGTGTTACCTGAAATTTCGCTTCTAGAAAGAATTTTGAATAATTATTTTTCGCATCTTTTGGAATATTTTTTTGTATTCTTCTTGCGGTTAGCCTAATTTAACTGAAATATTTTTTTTTTCTGTATTTTTTTTCATTTGGAGGAAAAAAAACCCACCAAACCATAAAAAGCATTATTTTGTACAGTTTTTATTTATTTTCATTTTAAAATATAAATTATAAATTTTTAGTTTTTAAAAGAAAATTAATTTCGGATTTTTTTTTAAATATTTTGTAAAAGTGATGACTTTTGGACTCAAGTATTGTGGTTTTATAAAAGCATTTTTAATGCAGAATTATTATATTGCAATTATTATATAGCATATTGCACTTTTAATGCCATAGGCTTACTTATAAACAATATACGGGATGCGTAATGCTGAAACACAGAAAAAAATATAGCAAAATATTTCAAATAAAGCATCAGTTCTTAATTAATTTCCTTGAAATTTGTATATATACTTGAAATTATGCCACATAACGTGATTTTCAGTGAATAGAAACATAATAACATTTAACACTTTGCATCAAAATTATTTTGACATGAAGCGAGTGTTATCCTTGTTTTCAAAATTTAACTTTGAAAACCTTGATGAATAGTGGTTACATTTCATGGTGCTGTTCTTGACCCAAATTCATGCTCATTTATATTTACACATTTTGCGCAGCAACTGAAATCAGAAATAATTAAAAAGTTATAAGCAATTATTGTAAAGCAATATCTTCTAAGGCACTACAGCCTGCTACAGGCCAAGGTAGTTCCAAGTAGTCATAGTCATCTGATCTTATCCGTAGCAAGGCTCTTCCAGTTTCCCTTATTTACTGTATGAAAGTCCTTTTCTACCGAGTAAAGCCACCTTATTGGTGGTCTTCCCCTTTCTTCGTTTCCTCGTTTACTGTTTCTCGTTTTCTGTTAAATGCTTAGAGTGTTTTATAAAAATAGTCCCACTGAAACACATTTAAAAAAAAATATTAAACTGTCCTTGATTTTCATTCAAAGTTTAAGAATTCATATCATTCATTTAAGTTGGCTGTAAGATTGGTGAGAATGGCGAACAATAATGGCGACGAATAAATAAACAACCAAACATTCGCCAGAAATTAAAATTCTCTAAAAACTGAAACAGTAAAAAAACTGTAATACCGTAATTTTTCAGGAATTATTTTACGATGTATTATTGTGGGGATTTAATTATAGACCATGTCAACCTTCAACTATCAAAAGGTACCTCTAGAGAGAATCAAGTTAACAAGTCTTGTATACTAGTGATTCGGTATTTAATATTTATAGTGGTAGTTACGCCACATTATTTGGTTTTAAAAGGAGAGTTCTAAATCATATTACATATGAAACTCTAAAGTTCACTAAAAAACAGTTAGCATGAAAAATTTCAACAACAAGTTTGATGAAGTGTTTGATATACGCTGTATACTTATCAAAAATATTTGAACTTAAATTCTGGAATAAAAATAATAAGCTGACTTAAGAAAAGTTAAAGGTAATAAAATTCGACGTTTATATATTATATAGTTTGATTTCTTTCGAAGATACTGAGGTTGCAAAGTAAAACAAAATTTTCTGTTTCCTACACTCTGAGTAAACTAAAAATAGTTGGAAATGGATTTTTTTCTTCACGTTTTTTAATTATGCAAAACAATACTTTATTATAATTCTCAGATATTTGATCTTTAGTAATTGTGTTATTAATATATGCGTTGAGCTTGAATAACTACATTCGTTAAACTGCAGTAAATTAGAAAGAAATATTTAATCCAGTTTAAGTACAACAGTAAATAAAGCAGCATTCAATAATTAGAATTTATACTCATAAAAAGTTATTCATTTATCCGATTAGAAAATCTTATTTATTTATTTTACATTAAAAATTACATAAAATGTACCATTTTATAACAATAAATTATAATATTTCATAAATTATGATTCATAAATAATTCATAATAATTCATAAATTATTCATAAATATTCATAAATAATTCACAAGTTTTTTAAAAGGAGCTGAGTTGCATTCTTTGTTTGGTAAAAGAAACAAAAAAAATATTTTTTCGAAACATGTTTCCCTTAGTTAAATGAAAAGTGTTGTACTCTGTAGAATTCAAAATAAAGATATACATATATATAAATGTAAGAAACACAAGGTGCTTAAATTGACACAGCCTCATGAATAGATCATAAATATGCATTTAAGTACAATTCCAGTGTGACACGATAAATAAATGTTCTTAAATGTATGGAAAGACACAATGGATTCATCTCAATTTCAAATTATTTGTAATTGTTGCATTGTTTATACATTTCCTCAAAATTCAAAAATGTAAACAAAATGTGAAATAGTAACAATATTTTCCGTTTTCGAGTAGTTTTAGCTAAAATATGTTGAGTCTTTTCGAGTATAATAATTTATTGTCATATAATAAGATGCTTTTAGATAGTAAAATATGATGGAGTCTAATTAAATTTTCTTTTAAAATTGTATCTTTTGAACAAGGCAAGTTTTGAATTTACCCCCAATAGGTTAATTGAAATGAATATATGAAGAAAACTTAATTTCTTTTATTACTTTTATTATTAAAACTTAAATTTTTGATTTAATTAAACTTGTATCGTAGCATTGTCTAAATATATAGGACAAAAGCATATTGCATGACATTGAATATTATAATAATGTAGATGAAAATGCAATTTTAAACCATGAATGTAAATTAAATATAAAGTTTAATATGATATTAATGGAATATTATAAAAAATAATATCAAATCAATAACATCAAATAAAAAAAAATATCAATAATTTCATATTTCCTATAAAAAAAAAACATTTTTAGGCTTCGCAGAAATTTTTTTTCGTAGTTGTCAGGAAAAAAAAAATAAACGCATAAAATAATGCATTTGGCCATAAATGTATACTTTTCTTTATTTCCTCAATCGATTAATTTACATCAAAATAAATTTAATAAATTTTTATTACGTATTTCTTGTAAAAAAAAAATTAAATTTATAAATTTTTTTAAATTATTATTCTATAAATTTCAATGCTAGTCAATATAAAAGCTTAATAATATAAGAAAGCGAGTTAAAAGTTGGTAGTGTATCTACCACTACAAAAATACAATTCCAATTCACTAGCATATAAGACATGTTAACTCTATTATATGCTGGGGTACCTTTTCATTGATGAATGTTGGCATTGTCTATATGACTTTTTCCATATTGGTGACTCTCAAAAGTGATATGAACTCGCCTACAACAAAAATAACATCCAGCTCAATGTATGGAGCACATTAAACAGGTGACTTGCTATTAGTGTTTGCTTGATTGTCCTCTTCGCGCTGTAGCTTCTCCGTCTCATTTGCACACAACGGGGACCTCCACACACTCGATTGCTAATAGCAACACAGGATAGATCATACACACAGCTATGAACATAATACGGCTCTCACCACAAGCTCTCAGAAACCGGAGAACTTAACACAGCTCTCCCGGCTTCTCATAAAACAGCAAGGAATCAACTAGTGGCATCCTTGAATCGAATTCTATCACAGATAAAATTCTGCTGGGAGAGTATTGCAGTGTGTCTAACACTACAAATAATAACACTATAAATAATTCCAATTCACTAGTATATAAAACATGTTAACTCGATTCTACGTTTGGGGTCCCTTTTTATAGATGAATGTTAACATAGTTGATATGACTTTCCCCACAAGTTATTTTGGTTGCTTTGTGGAGCTAAAGAAACTTGATTTAAAGAATGGAAATTTTTTTATCTGAATGGCATGCAATCATTCTGCTAAAAGTTATATTTCATTTTTAATCATTCACTTACCGTTTCTTCATTACCAAATATAATAGTTTATAAAATAATTTTTCACGTATTTTGACGAAAAAGAAATATGGAAGCTTAATTTAAAAAGAAAATAGACAATTTGTAATCGAAATAGTGAAATGTTTCTTTTAGAAAATTTTGTTATGGTTTCAGTGAAAGTAATTATTGTTCCTTACATACTTAAAAATGTAATTATAATGGATAAAATATGTTTAGTTCAAAACCTCATTTCCAAATAAATTTTCAGAGGCTGCATTACTTTGAAAAAAAGGAACATGGGAGTTAAGTTAGGGCGTAGTGGATTTAATGTTTTAAACTTAACTTGATCTAATCAAGAAAGCCCAAATGAAAAAACTTTCCGTGAACATTTTAAAAAATTAACTGTATAGTTAAACTGAATAGTTTAAAACATTTATTAAATTTTTATTTACATACATTTTGATTACATCTACAAGCAAGCGATTTCCAATTTTTTAATTTTGAACTTGATTATTTCCGTTTTAACTCTTTTATTAATTTTAATGTTTTTACATTGGGTTATTTACATTCTTCGAAATTGTAATATATTATTAGGTTATTCAGTCTCCAAATCTGTTGTTTCCAAATCTTTTACTATACACAAGCTAATGTGTTCTAAATCTAAAACTTAGATTCATTTTTCATCTAATATGTGTATAATTTGAA